CGTGTATCTTTACTTTTAAGCTTTTAAGTTAGTTAAGTAGGTTTTGTTAGGTTAAGTGGAAGACCAGCCATTCCTCTATAGGAATGAAAGCTGAACTTCGCCTTTTCCAAGTATCACTGCCATATCTCTGTACCTTGGTACCAGCGAATAAAGATGATTATTATTATTATTATAACGTGTCGTTCTCTTGCTATGTTTATAAGAGCTAAACTCTTTGTGTGAGAGGAATGTCCATCAAGTATAAGAAGGACTGGTTTATCTTTAGAAGGGTTAGCGTAGATCACAAATCGTTGAAACCAAAAAATAGATGATTCTACATTAATCCAACCACTCTCATGAAGGTAAACAAATGATCCTGGTGGTGCGTCATCAACACAAACATGGGTGGCATGAAATTACCAGCTGCGTTCATACACGTTTCGACTGTGACTAGAACTCCGCGTTCTGCCGAAGACAAGCAGCCTACCTGCTTTTTCCCACGCAAGGCTAGGACTTTTGAAAGTTTGTTCGGAACAGTTAATACTCCGGTCTCATAACCGTTGTAGATGTCGCTAGGTGACATATTATGTTTTTCATAAATGGACTCTAGTAAGTCATAGAACTTCCCTACTGCAACTCTATTCTTACAGAAATCTGAGGATGCCTTCGAAGGAAGCTGTACATCCATTCCTTTCCTGCCCTTCGCCTTTCTTTGTTGAAAGTATGTGGAATAATCGCTCTTCTACAAAGAGAACATGTTCAACGATTTCTCTTTCTTGGGCCTCAGAAAATATGGTACAGAAACGACCTAATCGTTTTTTAGCTGCACATGCAAAAGATGCTGACGCTTTCCTGTAGCCAATACGTCCTTCCAAAACTTCAGATATAGCTGCGACCCTATTTACCGGGGACCAGCTCGCTCTGTTTGTTTTTCGCACATAGTTACGATGCATGTTTGTAACAAAGCGTCGAACTGAAAAAAAACTTCATTTTAATGACAGCAAAGATTATTATTATTTTAAAATATTTAGCAGTGTACTATTTCCAATAAGATACCTGTTGGGTAAAACCGGGACGACAAGGTTTTGCCCCATGGTATATGTCCCGGTTTTACCGCACACTATGTAGTGAGAAAAAACATGGCGTCAACAGAGCTAAGGATACGTTTCAGAAGCCATTCATATACTAAGCTACTTCTTATAAACTGTTAATTACAGTGGTTTACTTACCTAAAAGTTTCCGTCAAAACTAAAGGAATATACACACATACACTTATAATTGAAAATCACTAAATTTATTATTGAAAACTAAGAAAACTTCTGGAACTTAAACGACCGCTACTTTGGCATGTAAATCAGTTTCGAATAATGTCATGCAGTACACTCGAGTAGCACAAGTAATCATAGCTAGATCGCAGCGATTTTGCGCAACGTCCCGGTTTATGCCGCCGTCCCGGTTTTGTATGACTTTCCCCTAATGGTATTGCATCAAAAGATTGCCTGTTAATTCAGCACTTGCCTGTCTTGCTTTACGAATACTAGTTCCTTTTTCTTCAACTTACTTATGTGAGGCAGGCTTTTCTGCTCTAGTTTTAATTAATACTAAACAGTGAAATCGTCTTAGCGATAGCGACCTGATTATAGCTCTGGCAAAAACAGAACCCAAAATCAACCAACTGGTCCAGAACATGCAATCTCAAGTGTCTCATTTGTACCTACTCTTGTTTTATTCAAGTTTTTCGATGAAAACTATTTATTAGTTTATTTAAACTTCTAAAGTTTCTTTATTAGAATTAAAAAATAAAAGTCTTTGTACCTATATAATGTGCGTTTTTTTTTGTATTGATTGAAAAAGTAAAGGGGGGCATGAAAATATAATTTATAGTCCGGGGAGCCTCAACAAAAAAAAAGTTTAGGAAACCCTGATGTAAACAATATCTGCTTCAGCGATGAACGAACATTTTATCTAAATGGATTTGTTAATAAGCATAATTTTCGGTATTGGAGCAATGAAAATCCTTATACTTTTGTAGAAGGGCATACCCAGTACCCCCGAAAAAATATCTCATGTATGGACAGGAATTTTACGAAACGAAGTGATTAAGCAATTGTTTATTAATGGAAATTTGAATGGAGACATTTGGTATGTGGATTTACCTAAGTATTGTCCACATTCAAAAGTCTTTACTTAAAATTAACGTGCAGCACTGGTGGAGATACAGGGGATCAGTGGCATTATTTTTACAAATAAAAATAGTACACCATCGTTTTTTTTTCTAAATGCGTAATTTTTCTAATTTTACCTTCAATTTGCTACAAATAATTACTCTTGTGTTTTTTACTAGAGTGCATTGTTTTCGTAAAAATAAAAAAACAAATTAGATAATCAAAGCTTTATGTTATTTCAATAAATGTTCGAAAAGACCACAATTCTGACGGATACAGGTGCAGCATATTTTTAATAAAGAAAAACGTATTTCCGCAAAATTTGTTGTGGATTGAATTTGTTGAAACGCATTATCTATTATTTCTTGTAACTCGTTAACAGTATTAATTTGTTCATCATACACTAGTTATTCAAAAGCGCCCCAAGAAAATAAATCCAGGGGGTTCAAATCGGGACACTTCGCAGACCAATGTACGGGTCCGTTTCTGCCAATCCATCGTTGTCTAAAATGATTATTTAACCATGGGGTTATGTCATGACGAACATGCGGTGGGGCACCGTCGTGCTGATACCACTTTCGTACTCTCGTTGCTAACGGAACATCATCTAACACATTTTCTATCTAATTCTCTAGACAAGCTAAGTATCAGTTTACAACGTTGTGGCGACACGTGCATAAACAGTTGGCTACTGAACCAGACATTTCTAGAAAGTCTGTGTTGAAACGAGTGGATTCTTACAGGATGGGGATTTTCTTACGACCAAATATATACATTATGAGAATTAAAGGATCCGGTCCACGTAAAAAGCGATTCATCTGACCATAAAACCAAATCAATAAAATCTGCATTGTGATTATGCATTTGCAGTAACCACTCACAAAAATTTCGCCGTTGCATTTCGTTGCCGGGTTGCAGACATTGCACATTGTGCCAATGGTAAGTATGTAAAACTTAAAATTCCCCACGCAAGACTTTTTGAACATGGTAACTCGGCTGCAATCCGCCTAGTACTTGTACTAGGACCATCCAATGCCAAATTAATCACTTCCAGTTCCTCTTGAACAGTATGCCGCACACCATGGTCTCTAACTCCGGGAAGTTTGGAAATTTCATATTTCCGAAGTCTTAGGAATAAACGCGTAAAAAGCTTCAGGGTAGGTTGGCGTCTGTTAAGAAATCTACGTTGATACTCCCGAGCAGCCGCTAAAACATTTCCATTATACAAAAATAATATCGGCGTACTCATTCACTGTTAAATTCCATTTCACAACACTCAAACATGAAAAAAGAAACTTTTGACTTGACTTACAGAAAAAATGGTAATAACAACCATATAACACATAAATTTGACAAACTATCGCCCAAGAAACGTCAAGTTGGTATCAAGGCCTCCTATTTTATTTCTCTTCATGAATGATCCAATTTGTTTTATTTTATTTTTACGAAAACAGTGCACACTAGGAGAAAGGCACAAGAGTAATTATTTCTAGCAAATAGAAGGTAAAATTAGAAAAATTGCGCGATTCGAAAAAAAACAGTGTCGTACTATTTTTATTTAGAAGAATAATGCCACTAATCCCTTGTATCGCCGCCAGTGGTGCACGTTAATTTTAAGTAAAGACATTTGAATGTGGACAATACTTAGGTAAATCCACGTACCAAATTTTAGTTCATTCCAGTTGACGATTTTGAAGATATTAAAAAAAAGTTTTTTATTTTTAAACTTCAACACCCGTATCTTTTTGATAAAGCCCTCGAGGAAAAAATGTTACATAGAAGATCCCCCTTAAAACGCGGTCCTGTGTATGATGTTTAATTTTTGGTCAAGACTTGTGAATCACCCTGTATATTCTCAGACACCTACATAGTCCATCAGTCCGCCTTATTTGACTTTGCAAAGTTATATCGTAATATGAAGTGCAGAAGTTGAACCGTTCAACCGGAAACGTACACCATCATTTCAAACATTACATAGCGACTGGGATCCCGGAATAAGAGAGATAAGACGGTAAAGTGGAAAAGATTAGTTTGGTAGGTATGTGAAAATACATAGAGAGCATTGAATTCCGATTATTCGAAATATAACGTATATCTGCTATAGTGTGTATTAACATAAAGTTCTATTTCTCATCATGTTAATAGGTAAAATGAGTGAATAATAAATACTTATCACTTTTTACTGCAAATATTTCAGTAAGTACTGACCTATAAGTGAACAAAAAGGAAGTAACAAAAATACTAATTACTTCAATCAGTAGACCTTATTTCTGTATTAGTAATATTTTCATGATGAACTAGTAAATAGGTGCAAATAACACAACTCCCTGATAACTTTTATATAAACTTTTGATTAAACAATTATGGCTGTTTCTATTAAGGTACGTAAAATTATTTGTCTCAACCCGTCAACTTTCTCCGTACATACGATTGCCAAAGCAATATATACAGTTCTCGTATTCTTTCTTTTCTACCCGCTTTAGGTTGCTTCCAAAGCAACTATGGTGTCTTAGGAACAAGGCAGTATAGTAATCGGTCTGCACTACTCCCGTCAATTCAGATGTCTGGAATCTGTTATCTAATACATGTTCCATGACAGATTCACTGCCACTTAATTTATAGCGCATCCTTTCATCATTTCTAACTCCTGTATCTTTCTTTTATACAAGCTGATTCATTGAAAAGCTACCCATATTTAGTCCATTGACTGGCTACTAAATCAAACCACATATTGTTATTCCAAGGTTAATCGATGTGATTACGTTTTGTGCGAGCAGCGTATACTACTATAATGATTTCGGATAAAAATAATCAGATTGCTGATATGATTACGATAGATTTTTTAATATGTATTATTTCATCCCAAACGGATATAAAGTGTCGATCATCGATCCATAACTTAATAACATCAAGCTAAGTAAAGATCCAGTATGCACTGTGTTCGAATAGTAGTGCTACTGTTGTTTCTCTCAATATCAAGCAGCCTGGAGAAAAAGGATGACAACTATAGGATGTTTATAAAGGAGCTCCATGGGATTTTTCGGAATAGGATACTTCCTTCTGATTATGGCTTAAATATTGTAAGTAGGATACGATTTAGTTAAAAAGATGATCCCCTGCTACAACATCTTTTAATACATGGTTTGTCTGGAAAATAATGAGCTTTATTTTTTACAAAATATATTGGCCGGCAAAGTACAGATACTCAGAATACTTCGAAGTAGCACACTCCTGTATCGATACACTTCCACCAGCGGGATTTCCAAGCCTCGTACGCTCCCTGGAACACCTCGACCGGGATGTTGGTTAGGGATGCCATCTAAATGGCTTGAATATTGTCTGGGATGTCCAGATGCTGTCCTTTGAGGCCTCTTTTTAGACGAAGGGCCTGAACTGGGACTGAACGGTGGCTGACGCCCGAACAGATACGAGGATGTCTTTTAAGTTTTGCATATGGAAATAAAACAACACGGTAGGTAGTTTTAAATGACTTTACTGTTTTTCGAAGCATTCTCCACGAAGATAAAAACACACCTGCATGCGCTCGAACCAATTTTCGAAGCACTTATTCCACTCGTTTGCTGGCAGATCCAAAACGGCATCTTTGAATGCATCAACTGCTTCTTCTGGTGACTGGAACCTTTGACCACGCAGTCTGTTTTTAATTTTTGAGAAAGTAAAGAAATCGTGAGGACTTAGATCGGGACTATATGGAGAATGAAGTATGGATGAAGGCAAAGTCAAAGTCAAAGACAAAGGAAGGCAAAGTCAAAGACAAAGGGGGTGGCCCCAATCATTTTATCCTATTCAGACACACATTTTACAAAATGCTAGCACATGGTGCTATATGACCTCATGCTACAGAGAACAAAATTCTCGTCCAGTAATTCCACATTTTCTTCGTTAAATACTGCCTTGTTTTTTGGGCTGTGTGCGAGCTTGCATTGTCTTGATGGAGGATGATTCTTCTTTCGGGGCTGATTTTTTGAAGCTCGATGATGACTTTGGCAAACAAATGGTGGTATACCAATCCGCAGTAACAGTTCTTTGCTCATTAAGAGGAATTGTTGCAATATGACCCGCTTTTGACACAAATGTCGCCAACCATCTATTTTGAAACACTTCGAGAACGGATGACTTTTGTTGGCTTTTCTTCACCTTGGAACACCCAAACACCCGACTGTCGTTTATTTTCTGGTTCATAACAGTAAATCCACTATTCATCACCACTAACAATGCTGCTCAGTCAACAGGTGGGGTATCCAACGAGAAACTAATTTACTTCATGTAAAATTTTTTGAATTGAGGTCTTTGAGATCTTCAAGGACGCCTCAATCTCGTAATATGTCACATGTCTATCTTCAATGATTAGTTTGAGCACAGCATCGACGTTTTCCTGGGTGACTGCCGTTTTTGGGATCGTCGCTGAGACTCACCCGTCCACATTTGAATTCTCCATACCAACGGGAAATTGTCGACTGATGTGGCGCTTCGTTGCCGAAACAGACAGTAACTCAGCAAGGCATTCTTGTTGCGATAATTGTGTCTGAAAGTTGTAATAAATTATGACGCTAAAATGTTCTCGGTTGAGTTCCATTTTTCTAATGACTTGGTGACACTTAAAAATTCACTATAGTGAGAACACTGCACGAATTGTTGTGAAACTTTCAATTTAAGTTTACTAAAGAGTGAGGTTAAGATTCAGTACTGACGTTCTATCCGCGCGGCCTACTATGTTTCTATATGCAAAACTTAAAAGACATCCCTCGTACAAATCCGCATGAGGTAGTGCAGTGCAGTTTCCATGACAATCGAATTTCATTAGTTTCTAAAGCTTTTTCCATGGGAGTTTCGATGGCCTCGCAAAACATGAACTCAGAGGCTTTCCCAACTGGTTCCACTACGCTGCGTTTTATAGTCGCGTCACAAAGATATAGAGGAGGATCATTTCCAACTGTCTACTCCAAAATTAATATATATATATATATACCTATATATATATATATACAGGGTGACTTCGAAGTTGAGTCATTTATTTTAACAGTGAGTAGATCTGATCAAAAGAAATGTTTTTTTCCTTTACCATTTTTCTGGTAAAATTAAAGTAACAAAGTTATAGCCCTTTGGAAGTTTGAGTACCGCCGTCTCAATAATGATATTATGTTCTCGTGTTTGGCAACAACAGATATAATCCGCCTTATCCGTTCATCGCATCGGAAACAAAAAAGCGAAAGAATTTGGAACGATCTTTTTACAATTATTTTCTTCAGTTGTATACAGTCAGTATCAGTCGGTAGTCGGTAACGCGTAAGTGAATAATCGTGTCTGTTGCGAGGCTCAAATCAAAAATGGCACATGTTTACGAAAATGCTGAACTTGTGGACATGGTTCTTATTTACGGGGAGTCTTTACAAAATGCTGCCGCGGCATCACGGATCTATGCGGATCGGTTTCCCAATCGAGTGCAACCAACCCCTCGTGCCTTTTTTAATGTAGTGCAAAGAGCTCGTGAATCAGGTGACTTAAGACCTCACAGAGGAGATCATGCCGGTGCTCCAAGACCACACGATCAAATAGAACTAGAAGAACAAATTTTAGAATTAGTAAGTGATGATCCAACAGCAAGCACCCGACAAATTTCAACTCAATTGGCGATTAGTCAGTATAAAACTTGGAAAACTCTACGTGAAAATCAGTTCTATCCGTTTCACATACAAAAAGTGCAGGCCTTACAACCGGAAGATCATGAACAAAGGGTTGACTTTTGCAATTGGCTTTTAAATAAACATCAAAATGATGACAATTTTTTAAATCAAATTTTAGTGAGTGATGAAGCCCTCTTTACTAGAAACGGAATTATTAATTCACGTAATTCTCACGTTTGGGCTATTGAAAATCCCCATGAAATAAGGGAAACCAATTTTCAACAGCGATTTGAACCAATCAACCTGTGGGCGGGAATTGTTAATGGAATTTTAGTGGGAAATTTTGAATTAACAAATCGCTTAACTAACATGTGGTTTTTACAAGATGGGGCACCACCCCATTATGCAAGAAATGTGCGTGAATTTTTAAATAGACAATTTAATAATCGTTGGATCGGCCGTGGCGGTTTTGTACCTTGGCCGCCAAGGTCTCCGGACTTAAATCCTTTAGACTTTTGTTTGTGGGGTTGGCTAAAAACTCTAGTGTATAAAACACCGGTTAATACACGCGAAGAATTACGTGCTCGAATTGAGGAAATGAGTACAGTGATCAGAAATCAACCAGTGATTTTATTGCGTGCTTGTAAAGAGACATGGCTAAGACGCGCCCAGCTGTGCGTCGAGCAAAACGGAAATCATTTCGAACAGTTTTTGTGACATGCTTTTGGGCGCACAGGTCCGCACTGAAATACTTGTCGGGAGGATACTTTATAAAACAAGGTAACATTTTTTTTTAATTTTTTTTATTTTTACACACATATTTTGGTTTATCTTCCTTCTACAATCATTATCTGAAAATTAATGACTCAACTTCAAAGTCACCCTGTATATATATATATATATATATATATATATATATATATATGAAAAATTAAAGCTTCCGCCTTTTGTTGGGTACTTCGACAAAATTTAAGCAAAGAGGACTCTTTATACTTTTTTTAATTCTCTCTAGCTTTCAATGGACTTTGCCATCATCATCAGGAGCTGCAATTACATTGATAACAGTAGCAACAATAGTGTAAAATGAATTTAAATTGACTTAACTTACAGTAGTATGTGAGGATGTTGCTAATTGTTGTTTACGTTCAGGTTGAGGGAAACGCCCAGTAACATGGTGAAAGCTGGATAGATGGTACAATGGTCAAAATTATATAAAATACACACGAATGTGTGACAAGAACAAGTTAAAAACAGATTAAAAATTTTTTAGAGCATGAAAGCATTACATCGTGAAGCCACTTGATGATTGCACAAAATGGTGGTCATGGAATAATGAGTGAGATGAACCCTTTGACAGAAGGCCGAAGGTTGTCAATGTCTGTGTAGAAAGATGGAACGAATTGTGGGCGTGTGCGACATTGCCAAATCACTTCAGATGATGTGATTTTCAGAATGTTATGTAAGAAATTGTTAAACCGACCAGAGGCAGTTGAATTAACTATATTTTAATTAATGGGAAATTAAATTAACAATTATTATTAAATCGTGAGGAGAAAATTATTAGAATTTGAGTGGAATGAAGTTTATTGGTGGAATCGACCAAGAAACAGATTCCATTTATGGTTGTGAAGAGTCAAAATTTGGGGAGATATGTAAGTTCTCCAATTTTTCGCAGTTTAGCAAATATGAGTAAATGAAACTCAGTTGCTTAACATCTGTCTTTTTGTTGATACAGTTGTTATTCATGAAAATGTGGGACATTTCCAGGTATAAACGTTGGATAGGTGTTTTTCTTTATCAAGAACGTTGATACTTGTGTAATTCATAGAGTGCCCGGTTGTGTTAACATGAGATGCTAGAGCGCATCTTTCAGGATGAAGCCTAGAATCACTTTTGTGTGATGTAATCCTTCCTTTAAGAGATCTGGAGGTCTGACCTATGTATATTTGGTTGCAGTTGTTGCAATTGATGGAGTAGACTGTGTTGGTTAAGCCAAGCAGCGGGACTCTGTCTTTCATTTTTGAAAAAATGCAGTTTATAGTGAGGACGGATTTGCAAGCAATTCGAAAGTTCAAAGGACTGCACAATCTGATCAGCTTAGGGGTCAGTTCCTTGATATAGGGTAGGACTGCAAAACCAGGTCTGGAGTTTGGGTTGGTGCTTGTACTGTTTGAATTGATGTTATTGTTGGGAATTCTATCAGTTCTGTTATTAGGGGTTGTGCGACTATTACTTGTATCATTAGAGTTTGGCAAAATATTGGAAGGTGAACTAAATAAGATCTTGTTAATCAGACACTTCGGATAACCATTATTGATGAACAGTTTTGATAGTTTACGTAAATTTGAGGTGTGGAAAGTATTGTCTGTATATATATATATATATATAACAAAAAGTAGGAAAATAATGGGCAAAATCCGCAAAAAGGAGGAAAG